ACTCAAGGTGTGGCCTCACCAACGCAGAGTACAGGGGAAGGATCACTTCCCTGCTCCTGCTGGCCACACTGTTCCTGATCCAGGCCAGGATGCCATTGGCCTTCTTGGCCACCTGGGCACACTGCTGGCTCATGTTCAGCCTCCTGTCGATCAGCACCCCCAGGTCCCTTTCTGCCTGGCTGCTCTCCAACCACTCTGTGCCCAGCTTGTAGCGCTGCAGGGGGTTGTTGTGGCCAAAGTGCAGGACCCGGCACTTGGCCTTGTTGAACTTCATCCCATTGGAGTCAGCCCATCTCTCCAGTCTATCCAGATCCCTCTGCAGAGCCCTCCTGCCTTCCGGCAGGTCGACACTCCCTCCCAACTTGGTGTCATTATCTGTAATGCTTCAGTGGCATTTGCTCAGGTACAATTATATACTTTGTTTAGTATTTGCAGTGAAGTTGCACCTCTTTCAGGACAAAGTTTCTGGATCCACAGTAAGCATCTTGTAAGATAAAATGATGTATTGAAGGTAAATCTCAAATGCCTACTCAGCATTTTGGCAGTGGGACGTATGGAAGCACATGGTTAAAGATAGTGAAGGTCAGAAATTCTGTCTCAGAGGATTTTGATTTGAAATGTGAGAGGTTTAAAAAATATGCTACAGGTTTGAACTGAACATTTGGAAACACTTTTCCTTCTTTCCCATGTGTGGCCATGGAGTCATTCATCAGTCTGTCCTCCACACTTGGCTCTGCAATGGAAATATCTAGGGGCAGTATACTGTTGATCTTGTATGTGTTTTATTAAGGCCTAGCACGCTCTCAGATCCCACAGAAAAGTTCAGAAGAGAAATATTCTGTTAACATGAGGGACACAAAGAGTTGAGCTGGTGGACTGAAATGTGGAAACATTCCGCCATCTCCAGAAAGGGAAGGGAAGAATTTACCACAAGTTGTTAAAGGGTTATGTAGCACACTCTGACAATCAACCGCAATGAAAAGGAGGGCCCTAGAGAGGTGAAACCTGGTTCTTCCCTCAGACTTTTCCTTGGACTGGTACAGCTACCCACAGCCTCTCCTGTAGTGCTGTGTCTTAAGGCTGATAAATGTAGATGGTAGATGGTCAGAGAGGGTGGTCACAGAAGAATCCCAGTTTCATTGGGACTGAACTCCCACAAGAATTAAGGGCAATAAATTTCACCACCTTTCACCACAAACCTAGGCACATTTATTCAACAAAGCTTGTGTAATACAATACAAATAAGTAGCAATGTGGGCGTTTAGTAGCAAGGAAAAAAAAGTAATGCCACAATTAAAAGCACAAAACCCTCCTCTTAAGAAGACATAAAAGAATACTAAACCCCATGTTATAAGACTCACACCACACTTGTAATTCATTCTTAGAAGGACTTAAAAATATGGCATTAAGACAATAAAGGTATTTTAATATAGCTTTAAAATACATTATATTTAAATAGTATTTTTCTAAGTAACTGATAATGGCATTTGTCTGTTGTTCACATAACAATATAAAATTAAGTCTATGTAAAGACCTGTTCT